TTTGGCATGCAATGCCTTATAGCAGCATACTGAGGGAAAGAATTGAAACAGTTTATGCTCAGAATGTTAGAGGTCTGTAGATATTTTCTCAGACCTTCCAAGTATTGTACATTGCGTTTTACTGGGGATTGTAAAGATACCAAATTGTATTTATTCACTCTACAATGTTGTGATGCAAACAATAGTCACACACATATATTTTCAGCAAATCTCAATATTCCAAAACTGTGATGGAATATAGCCCAGATCCCCAAATCTGAGGGCTACATTCCACCACAAAAACATGGGAATGGTCTTCCTAAATTATTTTCAGCAAATTGCTGTTATGTGTGCTTTATTTTCTACTTGTTGTCTTGAAAATTACTGAAGGTATTAAAAAAACAACTGGTCCAATTTGCTAGTCCAATCCAGAAGTCTGGAAATAGACCAGTTATTTTCCTGGAATTACTTTAGAATAGTCCAATCTTAATAGTCCAAAGTACATTATGGAAAAAGGAACTCTTTTCTTCCCTAATGCAATAATATTTGAATATAAGGAATTATATTAGGAATTAATTCACTGGTGTTTTCCTTAAAATAAGTCAAGCTCTATATTAGACAGTAATGCTATAAAGTGTTTTGCATTTGCTTTTATTCCAAAGTGCATGAGGTAAGCACAGCTGCAGTTTGCAACTCTTTAAGACTTACGTATTTGGAAAAATGCATGGGCTCATTTTTATTTTTTTTTATTATTCAAATTTTATAGCCACCTATCGCAAGCTAATGAATCTAAGGGTATAGTAACAATTATTTAAAAAATAAACACACAAGAAAAAACAGGTGAACAGCAACACACAGTGAAAACACTCACCAATAACAATTCAACACAACTATTGTGCAGACTTAACCAGTCTCCAGGTCTCCAAGTGTCCCATTACACTGGCTTTAACCCTGTTGGACTTTTACAAGGCTTTAAAGGCCAATAAGGTTGGTCCAGTCTAATCTTTGGTAATGCTATTCCAAAGGGCAGGTGCTATGATGGAACAAGTATTCTTCATCTGGCTGCCATCCATATCTAACTATGAAGTTCTGGGAGAAGATTCAGCTTTTTTATAGAATTGTAAACTGATGTTATATTTGCAGCTGCGAGGGCCCTCAAATACTTCTTTTAGAACTGAGGCAAAGCATTGCACAATCATACTAGGCATGTTGGGTACTAGGTAGCTCATAATAAGAAGCTTTGCAACATTGAAGAAACAAAGGAAATTCCTTCCACCCAATTGTGTAAGATGCTGTGGTCTGATCACAAAGGTCGTTCTAATGCACAGGTGTCAAACTAAATTGTGTCATGTGACGTATTGTGACGTATCATGACATTTTTTGCCTTTGTGGAGCCAAAGTGGGCATGGCCTTCATGTGACACACCTGGCACAATATGACACCCAATCTGACACCCCTATATCTAATATAAAGAAAAGACAGTTCATTATTAAATACAATACTTGTCCTAACTCTCATTTGGGTACAAGGCACTGGTGGAATTCAATTTTTTTTACTACTGGTTCTGAGGGCATGGCTTGGTGGGTGTGGCAGGGGAAAGATACTGTAAAATCCAGTCAGATGTAGTATTTGCCGGTTCCCTGAACTACTCAAAATTTCTGCAACCAATTCTCCAGAACTGGTTAGAACTTGCTGAATACCACCTCTGGTACAAGGACTTCATCACAATGAACCAAACAAGAACAAATCAGGACTGGATTTTCATGAAGGCACCAAAGTGACATTGTTTATCTATTTTGTCCAAGATAAGAAATATCTCTTCTGAGTATTCCATTTGGCCTCTGAATCTGATCTTCAGCCAAATCCATTGCACATTCAGAAACACTTGAAGGGAAAAGCATTTCCAGAATATTCTTTAAACATAAGGTAAAATTCCCTTGTACATGAGAAAATCAGAGATTAAGTATTTATAAACTCTCCCCTTCTTTCAAATGATGGTAAATTATTTATTGGAGATTGAAACCCCATGCTAACTTTCTCTACAGGTTTGAAGATCTGACTAGAAAATGGTTTTTGGGAAGCTCACCACATGTCCTTTGTATTGTGATATTTTACAATAGGATGTTTTCTTTCATAACCCTTCAATGTGTTTTCATCAAGAACATGCTGTCTTTCTCTCTTTTTGACCCCCTCCTACCCATTCCTTCTTTGTCTATGGGATAAGGACATTCAGTAGCTGAGGTCAGTATAGTTTCAACCCTCTTTTGAAGTAAAGCTGTGGCAGGATGCTGTTTATTGCCATTTAAAATGTAAACTGAACTATCATCTCTCTAGTATCTCTCAAGGCACTAAACAGATTCCCATTTATAAATAATTCTTAGCATGTCTTTCAATAATTTCATAGTAGCACAGGATATTTTCATTCTTTTGAATAACCACCAGACAGATCTGTCAGTAAGTTACTGAAGCAATTGCATTCACAGAAACAATTTCACGCCACTGTCCAGTCTGTTTCTTCTTGCCCGAAGACATTTTTTACTATTAAACATGAGACAAGCTGAAAAGCAGTACTTCTGTTTATGTCTCTTCAACACATTTTCATCCTATGTTCATAGCCCTTCAGAAAAAAATCTAAAACTACAGTATAGAACGAAATGCTTGTTAAAACTTTCTGAGCACATTCACAGGCCACATTCTTCTTCATTTATAAAAATCCTAGGAAATTTTTTATACAAGATCTATTGAAATTAATATTAATTATTATTCCCAATAAATAGTACTCATTCTTTATAACTGGGAATTACAACAGCCTACTAGAAGCACAATGTGAATTGTTGCAAACACTCAAGAAAATGAATGCATTAGCAAATCAAAAGTTTTTTAATAAAAACTCAGCTATATAACTTGTATAACCCAATATGCACCCACAGACACATGTGACTTCTTTTTTGCAACTCAGTAATTCACAGGAGGGTGGAATCTGACATTTTCAGATTCATTTTATTTGCATTTTGATGATTTGCTGAAGGTTTTAAAAGGCAAGATCAATTTCTTCGTCCATACTGTAATAGTTGATTCCCATATTGAGAGGGTTCTGAAAGGCTGCTGTGTAAATCATCAGATACAAACAGTCCATTATCAGTGAAAAGTGTTACTTATTTGCCGGTTCATTAGAAGTTTATTAGAATATGAATCAGAGGTTTTCACTTTAATGTATATGAAAGTATACTGGTTTTAAATTGAAAATAATTTAGTTCCCGGAGTTCTTCTAATTCTATCAATTGCAATAGATCTTGCTAAAGAGAACTTTTGTTTGGAAAAGAATAACTTTGGGTTTAGGCCAAAGAATCAGACAGATAGAGAGAGACTGGGACACAGAGAGACTGACACACTCACACACACACACACACACACACACACACACACACAAAGTCAGAAAGAGAGAGAGAGAGAGACAGAGAAAAAGACAGACACCCACACACAGAGGATAATTTTTCTCATGTGTGTGTGTGTTTGTTATTTTAAATGGTACATTTTGAAACCTCTATACATCACTACAAATACATATTTTGCAGCTAACACCCACTAAGATGCAAAACAAAAACAGATATTCAGCCAAATTTATCTTGTGGATTTTCTCTTCTACTTGTTATGTGTTCTACTTGTTCTGTGTTAAATACCTCATCCTGTTACCCTGCCCTGAAAATGAGTAACAAGTGCTTTAAAAAAGTGAAAAAATGTAACAGAAAAAAAATGCTGATACAAGAGTAACAGGTAGTTGTATAATTATCTAATACAAATATTATTCATGTATTTCTAATATGCTTATATTAACTAGGCAATATAAGAACCTCTAAAATACACGTGTGTGTGTGTGTGTGTGTGTGTGTGTGTGTGTGTGTGTGTAGTTTGGGTGTTTCAGAAGCTGAAAATGCACTGCCATGAAGTTGCATCAGATGCTATTGATAGATGATATTTGAGCACATTGTAAGTTAAAATTTCATCTGCATACTCCATCAATTATTCCAAAATCAATATTGCTGCTTTTATCCAATTTTTCTATACTACCATCATTCTCCCAATTTTTAATGCTGGTTTTCCCATAAAGTCATTTTATCATGGGAAAAAAATCAAATCTTTTTAAATTATTCATTACATTCCATAGCTTTGTAACTGACATAATTGTTTCCAGGGATTCTAGACTTCTATTTTAGTTAGATCCTAATATTGTCCATCCAATCATGCATATTTCAAAGTGCTCAAATGGAAAACTGAATTTTCCCACATTAATCAATGATTGCATTTTCTGTAAAAAATATTCTTAGAATCAAAGACCACCACAGAAAATATGTAAATACACACATATACACCAAAGCATCATGGCAGCATGGCAAATATTCTTAAGCAGGTTTTGATAGTGTTTCTGTTTGCAATTTAAGGCAACAACTAACATTTTTCATCCTTTTGATGTAAGAGATTCTGACTGGCAGCAGGGTTACCAACAAAGATGGCAGGTTCACTCAACAATGCTGAAATGTATTGGCACATGGACATACAACCACATATAACAATTACCCAATTAGAACTGGCAAACTTATAAAATAAGAAAAGGAAAACATCATTTGTCCAATCCTAACAGATAGATTGGAGCTGCTTTTCAGCTATTTGTTATGTACCTTTAACACATTTCAAGATAAATGAGTCTTTATTTGTAACATCTGCCACATTCTGGACTATGGATTCATGTTTTTCTTTATGCTTACTGCATCCTGAGCATCATTTTTCAGCCTCCTCATAATTGAGACCACAAATTAATAGTTCTTGTCATTTGTGATAATGCTGCAGGGTGAAAAACATTCTGCTGTAAGTGCAGATGGAAAAAGTCACATGCCTAGCAAATATGACAATAAGCACCTTAATCTCATGCCACTGTAAGAACTACCTGTCAAATTGAGAAGCAAATGCAGGTCTTTATGCAAAGTTTTAGCAGATAGTAGATATGCACCATGGCTATTACTTACAGCTGGAGAATATCAGCGGGCATGAATGTTTATCCATGGGAAAATTATGTAGCTGCAGCTGGCATTCGGCATTGATGGTGAGCCTAGAGAAAACCAGGTACCTATTACTGTCTTGGTATGACAGCAGGCTATAAAAAAAATTAGTAATTCGGTCATTTCAAAGGCTTAATTGGAATATTATGAGAAAGTGCTTCTATAGGATTCTCTTTGATGCAACTACTAGGCAGAAACTATCATGGGAGAAGGCAATAGCAATCGCTTCCATATTATTGCTAATAAACCACACAGTCAGATGGGATAAGCTATCATTTTATAAATATTATGCAGATGATATGAATTATGATATTTACAGTGATGTCTTCTCGTGTGCGATATATGGTGGCTTACAACAGATACCTCTACATGGATAGGTCCATGCAGTCATCTGGCTAACTTTGTTTGGGTTTGAAAACTGATTAGTTTCAGGCCTGTTTACTAGTGTTGTCCGGTACTTTGGATTCAAAGAGAAAGGGGACCATACATTTAGCACCTACCTGAATGTCTTATACCTATTGTGACTTTTCCCAGGATTGTGCTACAGATATTGAAAGGAGCTGCTTAATCCCAGAGAAGATGAAACCTCTTCATGGACTTCTATATAGGGCTGATTAAATGTCACAGCATGGATCAGAACCCTTTTTTCTTTGAATCTAGAGCCCTAGATTTTAATATTTCAATGGAGGACTGCCAGTGCCTTACAGCTAAATTTGACACTATCGTTACCTATATTTCTGGGAAAAATACATTAATTGCATATGTAGTTGTAGGTATATAGTACAGGTAATTCTTGACTTACAATCTTCCAATTTTAGTGGTTTAGTGACTGTTCAAAGTTACAACAGCACTGAAAAAAGTGACTTATGATCATTTTTTTACAGTTGCAACTGTTGCAGCATCCCCATTCTCATGTGATCAAATTTTGGATGCTTGGCAACTGGCACGACCACATACTTATGATAGTTGCAGTGCCCTGAGGTCATGTGATCACCTTTTGCGACCTTCTGACAAGAAAAGTCAGCGGGGAAGCCAAACAATCATGTTACTAACTTAACAACTGCAGTGAATCACTTAACAATTGTGGCAACGTTAGCCCTGAGGTTTCTTCCAAGGGTGGTGAATTTGCTCCCAGTCACCTGTTAGCTTGGTCCCCAGAGAGAGTGGAGGAAGAACAGTTTCCCCAGGATTTAAGCAGATCAAGGCCTTCCTCTAGACAGGCTACTTGGGGGCCTGGCCCTTCCTTCCTCGGTGGTCAGGGGGTCCAAGGTGGACATAGGCCTAAGCCTGAAGCAACCTATACCCTACAGCTGTGAGCCTATGTTCTGAGGAGAATAGGCCTGAGGACATTAGAGAAATGGTCTATGTTGCCATAAGGCAGGGCCTAGCAGAAGGATTTAAACAATTCCTTCATCCATAAGGGGGAGGCCTGTCCTTGTTACACCAGGGTCTTCCCCAAGGGGTCTCCCACTCTCAGAAGGGTGTTCCCAGACAGCAGTTCTGTTTCCAGTCCTCCCATTCGGAGTTGGGGGAGGAAGAAAAGTAAGACTATTCCAAGGCCTCTGACCATAGTCGCTCTAGTCATTCTGAGGAGGAGGAAGGGGAACTTAACGATCCCAATATTTCTGAGGAAGAGGACTTCAGAGTTGATCAGCCTCCCTTAGCAGGGATTTTTAGGTCTGGAAGGTTGTTAAATGGTCAAACTCACTCAACAACTGTCTTGCTTAGCAATGGAAATTTTGGGCTCAATTGGGTCATAGGTTGAGGACTCCTTGTAGTTCTGGCTATGAAAATAACTTAAATTTTTGTCCTATTTGACAGTTTTAAGGATAACAACAATAACTCAGCACAACCCATTGTGCAGGTCACTAAAACACATCAGAACTAAGGGAACAAGTTGCCTGAACAATCCAATTTAATGCCAAACTGATTGTGTTTCTTATCTTTGAGACAAGGCCCTCCGCCAGCTGAGATTTTTCTATTTCTGTTATAAAATTGAAATTACATTAGTTTCTATAAAAGGGTGAGTAATTATTTAAACTAGCCCTTCTTCAAAGACACAAATGCTTCCTACCTTAAAGTATACAAGATTTTCCCATCATTCCATATTCTTAGGAGCTGATTGGGTGTAGTAATCCAGTGAGCTTCTGCAGTTTTAGAATTCCTAAAAATAGTATCTGGGATCCAAATTAACCCAACCATATTGCTGTTGAGAGTGAGACTTCTTTTCACGGTGCTGTTGAAACGAAGACGGCTGTCAGTCCACGTCTGAGCAAAAAAAATATCAATTTGGTATTCCTGCAAAGGAAATTAGATATATATATATATCAGAATAAATTTAGAAGAGCCAGATCATCTATTTATTAAAATCTTCACATTTCTCTTAAACATTACCTTTCTTTTTTAATGCGTACTCAAAAATTAAGAAGCAAGTCATGCGTTGCATTAACCACTTGAATTGGGTTAGTCACTGTCTTACTTCCAAATAATAGATTATAGGTTTTCAACTATGATAATAATAAGATGCATGTCAGCCCCTCCTAAATTTCTGATTAAAGGCAAGACTGATTCTGATCCATTCATCTGCATCTCATTGCATGTTTTTAATGCTGAATTATTAAGCCACTAACTAGCTAAAAAGGTAAAGCATCTCCCACATTGGGCATTTGGTGATTGTTAATGACACATCCAAGTAACTTTCCCAAATGTATTTTTGACTTTCCAGTCTCCCAATCAAATACAGAAGTCCTTGACTGTTTGGCACTGGAAAAAGTGGCTTATGACCATTTTTCACATGACCATTGCAGCATCCTCATGATTGCATGATCTAAATTCATGTGCTTGGCAACTGACTCATATTTAGGATGGTTGCAGTGTCCCGGATCAGTGGTGGGATTCAATTATTTTTACTGCCGGTTCGGTGGGCATGGCTTGGTGGGCATGGCAGGGGAAGGATACTGTAAAATCTCCAATCAGAGCTGGTATTTGCCGGTTTTCCAAACTACTCAAAATTTCTGCTTCCGGTTCTCCAGAACTGCTCAGAACCTGCGGAATACCACCTCTTTCCCCGATCATGTGATCACCTTTTGAGACTTTCTGACAAGCAAAGCCAATAGGGAAGCCAGATTCACTTAACAACACAGTGATACATTTAACAACTATGGTAAGAAAGGTCGTAAAATGGGACAAATTTCTCACTTAGCAGCATACATTTTGGGCTCAGTTATGGTCATAAGTCGAGGACAACCTGTACCAGCCAAGGAAAGCTTTAAAAATTCAACTAGGTTTCAAAGTCAGTTAGGTTTTGTAGTTGTTGTTGCTGACCAGAGATGGTACAATTAATTACGCCCACAGCAATCATTCAATGCATTTATCCAAATCTCTGTCTACAAACATCGACACAATACATTGAACTGTATCTCTTCCATTTATGCCTTTATCATCAATTGCCCAGAGGGAAGAAACAAGAGATGCAATGGCTAAGAAGAGACAGAGCTAGCTAAGCTACTTTTCTCCATCACTGATCACCAAATGTCTGTGTGAAGAAAAAAACAAAAACAAAGAAGAGAAGTCATGTTTGGTAGATGAAGATAATACTAGTAAAATTAACTGAATCTGAAGATTACAAGGGACCTCAATAATTATTCAATTATCCATCCATCCACTCAGGAAATCTTCTACAGTATTCATACTGTAGTAAATGGTCACCCTGTTTTTGTTTTAAAACATTTAATTTTGTCAAAACCCGGATTTCTATAATCTGAGACTATTGGTTCTTTGGAAAACATCTGAAATGTAATTTATATAGTAGCTTTTCAAATATGTATGTATGTATGTATGTATGTATGTATGTATGTATGTATATTTGTTTTCTGAGGTTTTCGCGGGTATTTGTATGTGGATCTTTAGTTACTTGGGTTTTCTCCCACGTAAAATTGGAAGTAATGGTGATGTGCCATTGAAACGTCGCCAAGATACTTCAAATTTTACACAGGAGAAAACCCGAATAACCAAAGGTCCATATATATATCCACCATCCTAAGAAACCCTAAGGACAAAATCGAGTTAGAAAACCAAGGAGTATACGAAATCCCTTGCACTGCCTGCCCCACCACATACATTGGACAAACTAACAGAAGAATAAGTGCACGTATTGAAGAACATAAGAACTCAATCAAAAAAGAAGAACCGACCTCTTCCCTGGTCCAACACCTCAAAGCCACAGGACATGAGATTGACTTTAGAAATACCAGAACTATCGACAAAACTGAACACTCCAGCAGCAGAATAATCAGAGAAGCCATAGAGATAGAAAAACGCCCACACAGCATGAATAAATGAGATGACACCTCCAGCCTACCAGCCATTTGGAAACCCGCCCTCATGAACAGATGAGTACCTAACATGAAGAATGACACCAGACCCACACCCATGAGAGCCACACAAGATGCCAACACCACACTTCCACATAGAAAACAGACTCACACCCACACAGAAGATGAGACACGACCACAGACCAGAAGCCGCGCTGCAGCTGCATCACTACCCACTTCAAACCCCTCCGAGCCATACATGAAGCAAACCGACACCCACCAGGAAGATGCGGCACGACCACGAACTCGAAGCCAAACAGCAAGATCACAGCTCACCAACTCAAATCCCCC